CTGTAGAAGGGGTAGAGAAATATGGTTTTCCTCATTTTGCAAATGCTGGGTAAGGTACAGTGCACCTATAGCAGTAAGTCATGAGAGTAGGTTAATTACAGTCCACATTTGTAGTGGGCACACTCATAGAAAACTCCAGAAAGAGAGAGACCAGAAAACTCCATGGGTTTTGCCTAAACAGATCTGTAGCTCAGGCTAATTAGATCTCCCAGTGCCTCAGTCTGGCAAGGACGACAGGTCAGACACCACTCGTGAGCAGCACCAAGTCAGACAGGAGGGGAAAGGCAGACTTAAGTGCTGCCCCTTTGTGGTTGGGGTGCTTCTCTGGAAAGCAAGGAAAAGCTTCATCATCCCACACATTCTGAGTCAAACACATGCTTTTCCTTACCCCGTCTTGCCTCCACTACTTGTCAGTACATGAAATAGTCTTGAAACTGTAAATGCTCTTCAGCCTTCTTGTTAATGCTGCCTGTCTCTTGCTGACAAAGAGAGTCCACACTGGAGTGGAGGTTTGCACTGTTGTGGCTATAGTGACTGGGGAAACCTCATCTATGTTCCCTTGATTATTTTTTACTTGTATTGCCAGACTGTTAAATGTAAAGGGCTGAAGGGGTTCCAAGAGTAAAGTCCAGGAGCCAGGCAGTTCAACTGCCATTTGCTTTTGTTGCCACAGTCCTGAATTTCTTAATCTAAAACTACTTTTACTTTTCTCTACCACTGTTCAGGAGTAAGTTATCAGCATCAGTCAGAAAAACTGACTGTTGGTTTCCTCCCAGATCACAATGGCATATTAAGAATTGATTCCTGAATCAGAGTCTTATGGACATGATAAATCCTTGCATGTTTAATCAGCAACACTTGCTTCTCTCTTCCAGTTTTGGAATTCAGCAAAAGAAATACAAAATACTGTCAGTTGACTGTTTCCTTTATAAAAGGGATTAGTCATCAGTAGTCTCCAAGGGCAAATCCCAGTAGCAGGAGACCATGTCCCCATAGCTGAATGAGTCTTCTAGCAAAATCAGTGTTCCAAGCCCATGGGCTGAGTAGGAACAACTGTACCAAACACTTGTCTACTCTCAATGCTGGTTTCTGTGCTCCCAGTTCAGCACGTTTTGCGAGTGCTGAAATTAATTTACAGAATAAATTATTCTTCTGCATTTTGTTCTCTGCAGACACAGTGCTTTCAAGCAGTTGTGATTCCCAAGTTTTATTTTCTTTGCCTGGAATGGGACTTCCTGCATGTCTAAACAGTTCTCACCTTCAGAAAGAAGAGCAGATGAAAACCAACAGAAAGCAATTCAATGTGTAAAATATGCATATTTTAATTTAATAAAGGAAAAACAGCAAGGGAGACATAGGCACAGAACAGTAGCCCCTAGAGCTCTAGTAACTTGTCAAGCCATGAGAAATAAATACAGCATTAGAAATTCTATAAGCGTTCAGTGAAGGAGTCTGCTTTTACCACGCTCCCTCTAATTATGGCTCTGGTTGAGGAAGGTACTTAGAAATGGTCCCTTAAATGTTGTAGCCCTTTATTGTTTAGTTTCCACATTTTCAATACTAAAGGAAAAGCTAATTTCTGATGATTTTTAGTGGACTTTTGCTCCTTAATGTGGTTTTTTTTCAGCAGTGCAGCTCTAAACAGAGCTCATATTTAAATTATTTAATAATAAGGTTTGTTAGTAGTCTACTGAGAAGAATAAGGGCAGTTTATGTCTCTATGAGAAAGGAGAAAGAGAAATTATTGCAACACATACAGACATCTTGAATTTGCCTTTCTTTATGACTTCCAAACAAGTGTTCCTGCAACAGCAGGGGACACAATACAACCATGCATTTATATATGGTCCTCTCTGAAGACATTTTTCCAGCTGCAGTCAGATACCTTTTTTAATGAAATACAGATTGATGACCATTAATCATCCAACCTACAGATTTGCTTAACTGGCAGGTACAGTTATGATTTTGAAAAGAGCAATTCTCACCTTGCCAGATTTGACCCACTTCATATTAAAATTATGTCATTTACGAACAAAATATTTCACAAAAAAAAGTTTGTATGACTTTCTGACTGGAATGCATTGTGAAGCTCTAGTTGGTAACAAAAATCTAAATTCAACCCAATTTTTTCCTTCAGTTAAAAGATCCTCATTTTTTTTAAAGCTTGAAAGACATCACGGTTGAGTTAATTATTTTCACAATATGTAATGGGATGAATGTTGTCTGATGCAGCAAGGGTTAGCACCTTGCATTGTTTTTTTAGAAGCCCTGTTTATTCATATTGAGTCTTGATTATCCTCAGAAATTATTTGGGTTCTCTTTGCTGGTTCATCTGCTTTTCCAGGTCTTTGTATTTACCAGTTACACCAACTGTATGGGAAGCCTAAAAGACTGAAAAGGTAAATTCTGTATTTTGCTGGAGGTCTGTCCCAGAGGGCAGCTGGTGTGATTTGCAAGTTATATTTAGTGAACTGGCTGGATTTAACTGATAATCCCATCTATTTTCTACATTTAAATCATAGCATTTTAGAAACTTCTCCACTAGTCTCCATTAAATGAAGTGTCTGGGCAGAGCTCGTCTCTTGTCATTTCCCCATCACAAAAATGACAGAAATGGCTAAAAAAGGAGTTTGGAGAGAATAATTTATTATAAAAAGAAGCTTCAAAGTGATGAAGTGTCTGAAAAAGAAAAGGGGGTTCATATTAACCATTTTATTTACAAGCTAGTAAACAAGGACATTTTAGAGTATAGGCTATCAAAACCTGATGTTTTATCAGATTTATGGCATTGTTGTAATACTGGTTCTGCTATTTGTGACTTTGTTTTTCTCATTACATGAAAAACCAATTCTGTGCTCCTTTTCAAGTAATTCTTACTAAATATAATTCATCCCAATGTAGCCCTTTATATGGGGCTGGCAGTGCTGGATAACCACAGCATGAGGTCTCTACACTTGGTGGATTTCATCAACAGGGACTTCTGAGGATCACAAATGCTCTGCTCATCTTTGGGTTGCAGGATTCAGCCTTTAATTTGCAGCAAATGGAACAGGATGGTGTTATTCTTGTCCAAGAAGTGTTCTGAGAATGATGCATACAGCAGAACCTCATTAAAGATCATTAACATGTTACTCTCTAGGCCTGCAGGCTGAAGGTGGACATGTCACACAAAACCATGCAGTGTCCTCTCTTTTCAGCAGAGAATGCACTGCAGGCTCTGCAGTGAGCTCCTGTATAGAACTCAGGCTTTATTGCTCCCATTCACCGGACTCTATTCAACATTTCTTCTTCATGAATTACAAACATGAGCATGCCTATGCTAAGTTATTTAAATAAAATTAGTTTTATATATTGCAAATATATACATGTGTATATTATATGATGTATATATAAAAATATATTTAGGTTTTGTAGGAACTTAGAGTCTAAGGCTTAATTTTGCTGGGCTCTACATAAAAAGAAAAGCCTCTGCCCTGAGGACCTGATGTCCTCTTTGTTCTTCTATCATATTGTGCAAGCATACAAAGTTCAGAAATGTGAATTACTGCATATTTGCAGTTGAACTTCTTCCTCCATTCTCCAAGGCCAGCTGAAATGTCTCTTTGGTGAGCACAGGCACTTCTTCAGAGGCTGTGCTGGGATTGAGCAGACCAGGTCTGTGCTACCTGTTCTTTCTTTACCAAGGCACATTCTTGGGGCGACTTTGTAGTTTATGTGTGTGTCTGAACATGGAGCACAGCCAAGTGTGAAGTGCTGGGAGATGCAGCTTCTGAAAACCCCAACAATTGCCTAAAGATGGGGAGGTAAAGAGATGACAGTGTAAAATTCTGTGGACACCCTTTGACTCATCCTGCTTCCAAGTTATTTTGAAATACATGGTAATAGATACCAGCCTGATGTTCTAATATTTAAATTAGCAAGGAAACAGTGAAAACACTGTAGTCCTCCAGTCACAGGTGGTGAGCCTTAGTGAAAATCCCATCTCAATGGTAAGCACAGGAGTTGCAGGGACAGTTGCTTGTAAGAGGAATGAAGGCACTAGATTGTATTGCCTTCTTGATTTAGTAGATTTGACTTCTACTTTTCACACAATGACCTAAAAGAAATATTATACCCCAGAGTAACTTTGAAATTGTTTGTTTAAATTAACTTTCATTTGGATTTATGCTTAATGAAATCTTCAGAGATGCAGACAGCCCCTCTCTAATGAAATGCTCTGTCTTTGAACCAATGAACAGGGTTGCCAAACTGTAAGGATTCCTCTCTAAATGAGTGGGCTTTTATAATGTTACACTTGGGTGGCACAAGCAGAGTGCTCGATGATTAGTTTATGGTCTAGATCATTGTATTTTTATTACACTCATAAAAACTGTGTTTCTCCTCATTTTCGTAATGGCTTCAATGAGCTGCTATACCTTCTAGAGGCACATTAAATCGTTATGTGATGAAAGTACTGATTTAGTGGGGCTAGTTTTAAAGTAAGATGCATGTTTTGAATTCTTATCTTAGTCTGATTGCTGGCTGAAAAAGGTGAAGCTATTTTAGAATGAAAGAAATCTGTATCATCTTCCTTACATATAAAAAAGGTTTCCAGCTGTGGCCTGAAACAAATGCAGTACAAAAAAAAGATACAAATGATAAATATACATCTGTCTGTAAAGTATTTATAATTTTTACATATATTTAAATGGTTTTATGGCATTGTGAGGTACTAACGTGAGGATGAGGAAATTACAGACATTTTTATTTAAAAAAACTTTTTTGAGGGGTTAAAAAAAATATTATTCTTAAATTCCACTGTAATTATTTACCCCACTTCTTTTCAAAATGATAAATAACCCTATTCTGTGTAAACCCTAGATTCATTTCTCTAAATAATTCTCAGCTGGTTTTAAAAGTAGTTTTAATTATGTTGCAAAATGAGAAAGGGAAGAAAAACGTTATTTGTTTCTCTATATGCAAGCTATTCTTAAAAGAGAAGACAACATCATTATCCATGAATGGGAAACCTTTTTATTTGATATGTAATTTTAAAAAATAATCCTTGAATTGAATGTATCATCTCATCTTTGCACAGTTTAGACAAAGGCCTTTTTTGTTGACAAAATTTACATGTCAATACAGTTGCTTATAAATATTTCTGTGAAATAAACATAACCCTTCACAAAAAGAGCAGTTTACTCTTCATTTAGTAATTTTATATGCTAGCAAAAAGACAATGAAAGTTGTATGCAAATATAACATCAATGTACAGCATAATAATAACAGTTTTTAGTGATTATACTGCTTGGTATTAATTCATAGGAGCCTTTTTGTTCAGTCATGGGCTGTGTTTGGAACAGAGATATGCCAGACCAGAGCATCTCTGCTTGTTTGCTGTTTGTGAGAGACATCCACAAATCCTTTAGTTGAGGATGTGCTTGATTCTTGTATCCTACTCTGTGGCTGGTCTAAATTATTAAGTGATCATGCTGACAGGAAGATACTCTGTTTTCCTCTGTTGCTGTACCTGTGCTCTGTGAGTGCACTGTCTGCAGCCCAGGTTGGACTTTCATTCTAGCTCCACGAAAATAAAAGAAAAATGGAAAAACAGAACGAGAAAAGAGAAAGAAGGGGAGGAAAAAAATTGATAGAAAAATAAAATAGAAAATAGGAAAAGAGAAAGGAAAACAAAAGAAAATTTTAAAAAAAGGAAAAAGGAAGAAAGAAGACAAAGGAAAGCTGGCAGGAAAGAAAGAAGGAAAAAGAAAGTAATGCACATTTGCGACGAATCTTTTATAAATGTGCATTTGGAGGACTTCTCCATCCAAAATGTTCCTGGAAAAACAGAATTGCTTTGAATTTTCCATGCCTTTTCTTCATTACTGTTGTTCAGATGCAACTTTTATGATTGTTTCAGCAATGCAGTGCTTTAATGGCTTTTGCTTCTTGGCAAACTGAAAAAAGACATGGGGTTGAGAGCACAAACAGGTTTCAGTACATGTGACTTCAGTAGGTCTGTGCTGTTTCAGTGTTAAATATCAAATCTTAAATAGATGGGGGTTCTGCAAGCACCATTCAGTGTTCTTCAGGGGATCTAAAAGTTTGCCAGAAAAGCAGTTGAACATGGTACCGGGAGCAAGGAGAGATTTTGGAGATGACCTGAATTGAAATCGCAGGAAATTCTTTAATATTTCATGGACGCCTGCAAAATATGGTGCCAGTTTATTCAGGGATTTGAAAGCAGCTGCAGAGTAAAAGTGTCTAATGAAAATGAAATAAATTTCCTGTGAATGGAATAAATTTTGATTGTGTGTCTGAGTGCAGTAATTATACATGTCACGCAGTAATTAGGCAGTCACAATGTGGCCACGGTGTCTTTCTTTGTCTGCAGATGGTCTGGGAGAACGGCTGTGTCGTTATTGTCATGCTGACACCCCTCGTGGAAAACGGAGTCAAGCAGTGCTACCACTATTGGCCGGACGAAGGGTCAAACCTCTACCACATCTACGAGGTACCTGCACAAAATTTCTGGTTGCAAACGTGACAGTAAGTGCTGATTCCATCCAGGGCAGAAGGATGCTGGAGATGCTCTCACCCAGAGGTCGAGCTGCGGACTCTGAAATACACTTGGTGTGCCTTCGGGTAGCTCTGCGTTTGCAAAGAATTTGAAGCGCAGCTTTAACAGCAAGGTGGTTTCCACCAATTATAGTAAATAACGAGTGAAATACTGCAATATTATAAGAGACAATAATGTTTGCATTTTGAATGGTTTTGCAAGTGGTTGATATACGAAAGCGTGTATTTATGTTTTATAGGAAATTAGTATTTTTAGAACCCGTGGATTTTGCCTTAGGATAGCCATATGTAAATCTTTGTAGAAAAACCTCTATATTGCTGTAGTAATTAATCCTATCTATTTTTATCTCTTGCCTCAGTCACAACAACAAATATATATTTTTATTTTCTGCTTTTCATTTCCAGCCCAAAATATCATATCACGGGTTATGTTGCAATGCAACATTGACAATGACTGTCATATTTTTCTAGTGGTCCAGCTGTGTAGAGGAAGAAAATAATACCACAATGCCAAATACGAAGAAATGTGAAGAAATTCTGAAGAAATACTGTTATTTAAACTAAAATGGGAATAAAGTAATTTTCTGAAAAGATGAGCTCTGCAAATAAGCTGCATTTTTTAATGCTTATTTTTCTTCATAGCAAAAGAAACTGAATTTTTACTTCTCATGTGAATACAACTCAGATTTTTAAGACCTCTAAGAGTGGGCTGGGCAATGCATTTGTGGACATTTCTGAAAAGAAAGAAACTGCCAGTCTAACACATTTTCAATACAAAATATCTTTTGTATTCACATAATGTTATAAAGATTTAATTCAGTGATTTTTTCTTTTGCATTAAAAATGTCAAGATTTTTCTTGTTTTCAATGCAAGAGCAATGGCAGCTAACCCCTTTCTGACAGCTACATTGATTGCTAAATGAATTTTTTTTTCCCTCCATACTGGCCAATTTGCTAATAAAAATAAAATTTTCATGCAATGCCTTCATCCCAGAAATCTTACACGTGCAATCCTGGAGACGTGACTTGCAACCAGAATTGCTGATCTCCGTTTGTTCCTTCCTGGGCGTGTAGGTAAATCTTGTCTCTGAGCACATCTGGTGCGAGGATTTCCTCGTGAGGAGCTTCTACCTGAAGAACCTGCAGACCAACGAGACCCGCACAGTGACCCAGTTCCACTTCCTCAGCTGGAACGATCAGAGGGCTCCTGCTTCCACCAGATCCCTCCTGGATTTCCGCAGGTAAAGCACAAAGTATGGCGCTTCCTCTAAGATGATACGGGTCTGAGGAACTAGTGTTTTGTTTTTTTTTCCTTTAAAGATTTTTGGGTTGAAAGGGGGCTCCTCAGCCTGTGATGCCACAATGCTAAACCAAGAGAAATATCTTCACTAGGTTGATGTTTAGTGTTGCCTCACACAGAGATGTTGCCTGGGTTTATGACATACTCATTTCGCATTTAGAGATCAATACCTTTCCTCCCTTTGTATAATCTCAGTGCTTCTGTATTTCCTTGTTTTTCAAGTATTTATTTATTTCTGCAACTTCCAGGCTTTTTGTGTGGCTCCCCCAAGATCCTTATATCAGGACTTTCACAAGTAAATTAGGAAGTGTGAGCTTTAAAAAAAGAATCACAATGGAGTCATATGGCGATAGCATCATTCCCATGGTACCATTTGCTCATAAGGGTCTAACAGAGAGGTCTGCAGACCTTTGTCTGCAGGAAGGTGCAAGCTTGAGGAAGCAGATGAAAATATTGACAAAGCATACCCTTTGGAACTTTAAAGAAACTCAGTGTGACTTTAAAATACAAATATACAGAGGCAAAAGCTGTGAAAGTCCTCGCCACCTTCTCTAATGTTTGCCGTGCCTATCTAAATTTTAATTTGAAAATTAAAGCCATACATGATAAATAGTGGAGCGAAATAATCTTCATTTGATTGCAAACCGTGCCCAGTGCATCACGTGTAGGTGTTAGCGTGTACCAGCTAATCCACAGCGACGCGCTTATGGCTAATGAAAAGAATCTCCAGGAGGTTTGGGGAGTTGGTGCTCCATCCGCCAGCGGCCTGTGGGATCACATGTTGTTCTCTCTGCTCTACAATATTATCTACAACCCCCCAAAGTGATTATACAGGGCTCAGCGCTCAAAAGATCCAAACTTGTTTCTTTCAAGGAGTGCTGGGAGCTCTGACTGATGCCAGTCAAAGTTGTGCATCTGCACCCGAGGGGAGGAGCTGGCATTCAGCCAACAGGAGCTGGTTGCACAGTTGTCTGTTGGCAAAATTCTACCCTTAAAAATTTAGGGCTAAATGCCACCCTTCATCTACTCGGTATTCTTGTACATATTGCTAGGCTTTTCAAAGCAGAGAGACATCTCACATGGTGCAGGTCAGGTAATGGAGTGCAGCTGCTCTGAGTCACTTGGAGCTGTGGCTAGGTGAGGATGTAAGGATATACTACAGAGTCACAACACAAAAGCAGTAGTGGAGCAAGGAAGCACAGCCATGGGATGGAGTTGAAACTGTAATTGAATTTTCAAGGTTTTTTTTCTCTGGGTTCAACTTTAATATGATTTTTATAGGTTGATTTCCCTTTGCTTGTGGTACCGAGGAAGTTGCCTGTAGTGAATTTTTGTAGTGAGAATTGTGACTCGGTTCCATTAAGCTGTGTGAGGCTGCAGCACAGAGCCAGGGCAGCGTCCAGCTTTGCTCTTTTCAAAGGTAGTGGGAAATCTGCTAGCAATTCCAACTAGAGCATAAATGAGCCTGTACAACCAGGATATCTGAAGTTCAGAGCACCTCGCCTCTGACTTGTTTCAGTAAGGATTGAGGTCCCTGCATGAGCTGCAGGATTAGATCTACAGTAAGTCACAGTTCACACCGCCAGGAAAGCGCCTCTTAGAGTGACATTGTGTAAGGGTTAAATAGCTGTGTGGAAGAAGTGTTGTGCAATACTTTGAAAAAGAAAAAATATAACTAGATGAGAAAAGTAGCAGAGCTGCCATTCTTTGTATTTTAAGCCAGTATGGGAATGAACCTGTTAAGATTTAATTGAATTCTGAGTGTTCATTTCACATGTATTCACAGTCCAGTGTAGGGTACTGTAATCATTTGCTACGTGCAGATTTTGTACAATGAACTCATAGTACTGAATGCATAGTAAAATTCCGCCTGAGAAGGAATTTTGGCATGCACAATAGCCTGGTCTATGAATCTCAGTTTTCTTGGTCATCTGATCTTTGGGTTGTTTTTTCTTTTTTTCTTTTTCTTTTTTAATGACAAAAAAACTAATGCACTATTGCTAAAATAATGTATTTGGAATTCATTTATACAATACATGTTTTGCACCTGAAGCTTTCTATTGAAAGTACAGACTCTGCTGGATTACAACAGCTGAGTCAAAAAGCCCCCAGAAAAATGTCTGACAGTGCTACCATACTCTTAGTAGGGTAGTGCTAGGAAGGGGCTGCTCTCATTTCTTTTAATCTTATCTATGTTTTTATGTGCATTCAGTGTCTTTGTATATATATATATGGATATGTGTGTATATTTATATATTCACATACATATATGAAATTAAGCATATACATAACCAACCCTCTATTTTTTATAATTCATCACCAAGAAAAATTGGATTCCCAAAATTACCTTGCCCAGAGTCTGTGGAAATATGGACCTAAACATTTTTATTGAAGTAAATTTTGCAAGTCTCTTTGAAAACTGAAAGCTTACATTTCTCTTACTCTGTATCAGACAGTGATTTAGATGATTTTGCATCTAGCAGATACATTAAACCTTGCTGAATAATCTATCATACTTCCATAATGTAGGAATAAATTGCCAAAAAGAGATTATACTTTACAAATCTGTACAAAAGACAGTCCCTGAGAGGTGAGGCTACTACGGAAACCACTGGTCAGTTTTAAATGCTTCTGGAGTCCTAATTTCATTTTGAACAATAGACCAATCATTATTGCTCTGGACTAGCTTGTTAGTCATGCACTGATATGTGTCATTAAATATTTCTTAAGCCCAGAGGGAGCACATTTACACTTTAAAGAGGGACTGCTAAGCTAAAAGATAATTAGCATCACATGTGAGGGCTTTGCTTAAAATATATATCTATTATGCTATCACTTCTCGCTGTGTGCAATGGCATTTACTAACACTGCTCACTTTAAAAATGGACAAATTCTTATTTTGCCAGCTAATTAGCGGTTGCCAGTGTCATTTTTGTGATGTTGCAGCTAGTAATATGAGCCCAGTTGCATAGTCACAAAAGTGATCATTGGAAACTGTGACTCTGCTGCAGGGACAATGTGGGAAACCCCTTTTCTGAGCCTCTAACGACCTCTGACCTTTGCTTGCTGATGGTTTGCATGATGATTTCTTTTTCACTCAATGAGCCAAGGGTTGGTTTGTATTACTAATCATTCTTTCTAAGTTAATTCTTCCTGTATATGTATATATATATATATAATATATATTTTCTTCAACATTCAAGAACTTTGCTTACTGATGAATTTTCAGCTCACTCTCATTAGCCAGAACTAAGAATGAAATGAGATGTTGCTGCACTTCTAAATATTTTCATAAGCTATATATAGACAAAGCTATGAACCAGCTGGATTGAAACCCTTTGTTTTAATGTGTTTTCTGAAATGTGTGATAATGAAAATGTTTGAAACGCCTTCAATAAAACTGACAAACATAAGGTGTCTTTCCCTAACATGTGTCTCTGGCTGTCTGATTTACTGAGAGGTCTGATAGATTTAGATCGAGTTTGCCATTGAAATTATATTAGGACTTTGGTAGATGAGTAGTCACAACATGCAAATATCATATTAGTGGTGCCACGCAAGGAACAAAGGAATCACACAAGCAGAAAGAGAAACGGTAAATACCCCTCTGTAGTGATTAGCTTTTATTTAATACTTGAAATGGAAAAACAACTCTTTACTAATCCACTTGATGGGGGTGGGGGGAGAGTGACCACCTGCGAGTTGGGGAATGCAGGCTGACTGTATCAGATGTTGGTATCGACATTTCAAATATCATTTACGGTACAGTTTTTAAAAAACCCAAAGAAAGCCTCACCAAACCAGGCTTGATATCATATAGAAGGAGCCGGTCCTCAGGATACGACCATCAGGAATTGATTGGTGCGTTCATGTGAAAACTCTGCTGTAGCCCAAGTCGTTGAAGTTTTGTTTGGTACTGCCTGCATATAGATATATTTGTGGGCATATAAATGGTCCATTTAACTTCTGAGGTCATGTGCTTCTCAATGACTTGCCACTCATTTAATAAGAACATTGTTCTACTGCATTAATTACTTATATCCAGGGAATATAAAGAGAGACAGAATGTCTCTGCAAGTATGATTTACATAAGTAAGCAAGAGAGCAAAAATTGTGAAAAGTCCCCAAATTCAAATGTTTAGAGGGAATCCCATCAAGAACTTAATATTGTTCTCAAGTTTGGTTAGAATCTTAAGTAACAAAAATAAGAATGTGAAAACATGGTTTCATGGGATATCACCAATACCTCCATAGCCCTTTTGGGTTGAGTTCCAGGTATCCCAACACCCTGTCAGAAGTTTAGGCATCTTCAGGCTGTACTGTAAGCAGTGTTTAAAGATATGTGCATGTTTTCACAGCACAGATGTTAGTGAATAGATGAACAGCCAAGAACTAAATGATTCAGTAGGTTAGGTATGCTTTAAAATTCATAATAACATCACACCACTGTTGTTACATTTCAGCGGCTCCCTTTAGTTTAGTTATCAGGATCCTGTGCAACACTTACACTGAGCTGGGGACTATTAGAGCACCCCTTGGAAGCTGCCCTGTGAAATGATTTTACAGGAGACCTTCTAGCTCCAGTAAACTCAAACAACTCATCAAATAATTTGAATGAAAGGTTTTGATTTCTTGAAGCAACGCTTTCTATTTTAGCCTTTATTCATCTTGCCTTGTTAACATATGTGTGCATATTTTATGCATTTTTGGCCTGTAACATTCTTGACATGCAAAATATATCCTAGAGCAAAAGAGAGGGCTTGGGATTTTGGTGTCTGTAAGGCAATTTAAATAGATTTAAACCAATTTTGTGGGCTCTATTCTTAGACTGAGTATCTTCGTTTGCTTCAGCACTAGTTAATTCCTTCATTGAGTTTACACATCAGCTGACCTGTTCTGTGGTTGTACTTTTATTGATTGATTTCACATATATTCTCTTGCCACTGCAAATGTTTAACCAGGAAGCTGTCGAAGACAACAATGTGTAAATATCAAATATATAACACTTTTGCAATAGAACTAAAGTAGTAGAACCAAAGCTTACTGATGGGTTTAGTTATTTTTACTATGATAAGATTACATTTTAGAATTTTTAAGAAGTGTTTCAGGAGATTTGGCATTTGCTTTTCTGGGAAGCAGTGGTGTTACAGATCAGCACACATTGTACAAAGTGTAGTGGAATAGCCTTTTTTAATTTTGTTTGATGACCCTTGATATTTCCTGGAGCAAGCTCATGAACTCAAAGTTTGTCTCAAAATCAAGGCATCTCAATATAATCTTAGTTTTGGAGCTAAAAAATTAATCATTTGAGAAAATAGCTCTTTTGTTTTGCCCAGACAACAGTAATAATGGAATGTTTTCTGGGATTTCTTGGGCAGCAAACCAGAATCAAAGTTCAAAGAATATTATCTACCTAATTGCTTGTTGTATTAGGAAACTATCAACCTGAGTATTCCTTCAAAGACAGTAATGTTTGCATTTTCTTATTGCTTACTTTTGACAGTTGGTGAAAGAAACAGTATATAATATGCTTAATTAATTTCTTGTGTCTGTTTTATTTCAGAAAAGTAAACAAGTGCTACAGGGGTCGCTCTTGTCCAGTAGTTGTTCATTGCAGGCAAGTACAATTTCTAAAATAGCTTTAGAGAGATCTGTATGTGTAAGAATTTAATATAGATATAAACAAAGTGGGCAAATTAAAACTTTACATGAATCACTAAACAGTGAGGTAGGCTAAAAGTTTTAAGTATAATTTAAGTATAATTCAATTGAATTTTAATGTGATTTAATACTTAGGATCTGTTTTCATCGTAAAATTATCCTTCCATATGATTTTTTAGATTTTGAGCCATGACTTAACAATGTATGGCCACGCTTTCTAGTATAAGTAGCACTTCAGTTTCGTACACCTCCTTCAAAATTACAGATGTTCTTTGCATGCCCTCCCAATTTAGTCTGCTTTATTTTATTAACACTCAGTTATGTTTTATTTCTTCTTTACTTGTTTTAGCAATCAGGGTAAGAAGAGGGCAATGTCAGGGAGTGGAAACCTGCCCAGAGATTGAGTAATTCTTTAAGCACAGACAATTTTTAGGCCTGACAATGTCATAGATGCACACGAAAGCTGTCAGGCAGTTCAGTGGAAAAGTTTACCATAATAACATTAATGTTGGGTTTTGCCATTGGGGGTTCTGACTTACTAATCAAAAATATCCTTGTAGATAATGAAGACAGAAAAAGAGCTCTGCTAAGAGGCAGGATGTTTCTTTCCCTTTGGATGGGAGTGAGGAGGGAGGGGACGTGTTTCTCACGTGTGGCTCAGACTGAGGATGCAAGGAGCTGAATGCTCCAGAGGGGGCTGGTCTGCATTGCCTTCAGGAAACGTGAGAAAGGAATGATTTGATGCACAATAAAGAGCCTTCAAATTTCTTGCTATTTCCTTACTGTGTTGGATGGAAATATCTACCATGAGCTCAGGAGTTTTTGTTTTTATTGGGCCTCATTGCTGTCTTGTCTCTCATTATTCAGCTTAACTAATAAGATTGTGTCTTTGTTCCCTTCATAGACAGAGGAAAAAAAATTATTACCACTTGCTCCTTTTCTCTAAACAATGATCTAGTAACTGAAAGAAAAAAAATCTCTGTCTACAGAAATTAAGTTCCATAGCAGACTGTAAACAGAACGCAATAACGTACCTCACGCTGTTCTGTTATTTTTTTCTTTCATTAATTCTTCTACACAAATTGAGCTATCAATAAAAATAATGGCTTAATTAATAAAACTACATACCAGCCTAATGGGTCACACATGTACCTTTGTGAAAATTTTGGGGAGGGAAAGAAAAAAAGCTTTTACTTAAAGTCTTAATTGTGTTTGCTAACAGCAGCTCTAAAAGAGCATCACGCTGGCAATTACACGTTGCTCTCTGAAAGGGACACAAGCTGCATTCAGATTAGAGAGCTTTGCCCCTCCTGAGGCTTGGTCTCACATCCCTCAGGAAGGGCTATGGATATACAAAAGTTAAAGCTATTTCTTAAAATAACAAGATAATTCTTTCTGGTCATTGTTACTAGGGAAGAATTAAAGGGAAAGGTACAGAGAAAAAACAAATGACTCATGTATAGTAAAGAAAGATTGCAGTCCTCAGTAATTAAATATTTGTTCTTGGGCAGATCTCTGCATTCCCTCTGACCACTGTGCTCAAATGCATTCTGCAGCATTTTTTACTGTTCTAGATAAAGTTCTAGTCAAACTTACTCTGAGTTTTTCATCTTCTACATAAGTGACTGTAAGGTCACTATATGTACACTTTTTTAATAGAAATGCTGTCCTGGTTTAAGGGTTTCCACTGTTGTTTAAAATGCTTTTCTTGCAAAAACACAACTTGGCTTAAAAAATCAAAACAAAGCCCTGTTATCCGTGCAGGGTAGTAGTTAATCTTCCATAACCAGCTTGTGTTTATTCAGTGCAAGCTTTCTCTCCTCTCTCAGTACCCTCCTTTAACCCCTCATTCTCTCCTCTCCCACCATGTGTAACACTGTAACATTAAGGGCAGGTACCTTCATGTTGAGTCTAGATGCACACTGATAGGCTTTATTTTTTCTTTTTCCTTTTCTTTTGGCAGCGATGGTGCGGGAAGAAGTGGAACCTACATTCTAATTGACATGGTTCTCAATAAAATGGCCAAAGGTGAGAATCGAAAGGCTTCTTACTTCCTCAGTACTGAAATATGTGCTTGTGTTGCCATGACAACAGTGGGGGAGCAATATTCACAGAAAATCCGAGAATAAATTAGAGGCAAATTGTACTCTTTCCTGAATGTTCTGTAGTTTTATTTTCATACCAAACGCAAATGCTTTGTGAATGAGAGGTGTGTTTGTGCTGTTGAGAACTATTTGAATTTTTAAATTTATCATTTAAAATAATTATTACCGTTTTTACAAGAGATGCCTTGGGGCTGCACAACCCTCATTTAGCAGTTACAGGATCTGGGTCCTGGGCTGTGTCATGGCTGTTGCCCACGTGAGTGTTACCTGCCCCACCATGACAGTCAGATGTGAATATTTTCCTTTTTGGAGCTGCCCATTGCCACCAATGTGTGTAGAAATGGTGGTCCCAGAAAGGGCCTCGGGTCTGGCACAGATTTGTTTGTTACGAGGAAAAAGACTGTAGTGAACAGGACAGAGGACTGAAAATAAATCTCCATTGCCAGTTCTGGCACTATCTGTTCAGTGTTGAACAATGTATTTAACTTTTCTGTTTCTTAGAAGTCTCATCTGTGATATGTAATTTTATGATGTGGGAAATAATCTGTCAACTAAACATAAACTTGTTTGTTAAAATGAACAACTTGCAGATTCTCTAGAAATTGGGACCATTCCCTTTTTTTTCCTTGATTGGTAAATTGTTCATGATGGGAAGTACTTGAGATACTCGGAAATAATCTTTGTTAGAACTGAACAAATTTTTAATACTGATACTGTCTTCAGAAGGAAGGAGGGTGAGACTGAGCATCTAAACCTGACCAAATAAACAAAAAGAAATTTGCCTTTATTGATTCTTAGTCTGAATTCTTAAGCTGCATCTGGCATTATGCACACACGTGTATTTATTGAAAAAGGATTAGTTGTAAAAACATCCTAATTTGTAGAGAGAAACAATATTTAATTCTTTGAATTCTAATCATTTTACAGCATTTCTTTAAAGTCTTCTAACACAGACATATTTTTATATGTAGTTTAAAAATACTTTCCATGCTTTGCAGTCATCTGCTGCTGCATCCTGAATATTCCAGTCCTCTGGGACATGGTGGTATCCGGTCCCTTTAGAAAGAAGATTTTAGCTTTTCTTTTTTTTCTCCCCAGATTCTGTTAACATGTCTCATCAAACATGGACTGAATTCTCTGCCCGCAAGCATCATGTGGAACTTGCCACTGATGCTAAAAGAAGTTGTATGTTTGCCTTCTCCTTTGCGCTGTACTGAAAATAAATTTTTCAGTGGGATGAGATTAGTTTTTCATGCTCGTTGGAAAATAGGTTTTTGCTCTGTGAAGGAATATGGAGATATTTCCAATGCTTGTTACTTGCCACGTGACAACCTAGACTTTAAAAATAGAAGCAATGGTACATCGTAAAATTAATGTGGACCTTTGTTAAGTGTTTGTTCACTCATTTCGGCTATCAGCAGTGAGAAGCCATAATGAAAACTAGATTTAAAGTATATGCAATTTATTGGCATATAGAAGTAAATGAGGAGTATTTTCTAGCTCGAGGCTTTCAGCCACTTAAGGGAGGGTTGACTTTGTTGTAAAAGCACTGAAGAATGCCATTTATTGACTCCATTGTACCATGTAATGTCAAATTCCATTTTAAGTGTGGGCTTAGCGCTGCACAATGCCAGACAAGTCATGTGAAACTGGCCAGAGAAAGGCGTCACAGGGCTTTTTGGAGATCGGTCACCCCCATTTTGTTCTTGACCTGCTCCCCTCTGCCCGTGGGGGTGTGCGACGCGAAATCCCCTGACCTGGTGCTTTGGCTGGAGTTTAAATGAAAGATCAAAGGGCAGAGCGGGCATCTCAGCCCTGCTGAGGTGGGCCTTTCCCAGGCTGTCACACTGTGCGGCCGCCAAAGGTTTTGTTCGGGCGGGAGCCGCGGCCCAGCCTGTGCGGCCGGGGCCCTCTTTGTCTGGCCTGAGAAGCTGGAGGCCCAGGTTGAGGATCCAATGTTCATCAAATGATCAAAGGCCTGAAGCCCTGGACATGAAATCTTTCTTTCCATTTCCTTTTCTTAGAGAATGAATTGCACGAGTGGCAAAGAATGCCCTTTCCAAAGCTTTTATGTGCAGTGCGAGGGCTAACTTCAGAGTCCTTCAGCGCTGAACATAAAAATGTAAGTGCACTTTCAATCTGGGCCCAGCTGCAGGGCCAGCATCGAGGAACCCTTCTTTCAAAAAGGCTTTTAAGGATTAAGGCCTTCAGTCTTTCAAAAAAAAAAAAAAAAAAAAAAAAAAAAAAAGACAAAAAAAACCCAACCAAAAAAAAAACCACCACGGACTTTTAAGAATAAACTTAGAATAATTTGAGTTTCTTGTTCCGTGGTCTGGTTTATTAGAAAGTAGACAATAATGCATTTTTAAATCAAAGTAAATAGAGGAGTACTTAGTTTCAGCAGTGGGAAAGTAGAAAGCAATCAATAAATACCTTGGCTCTTTAGTGGGGTCTTTAATAGGTTGGGCAAAGGAGCTCCTTTTTCATGTAATGATTTACTTCCCTGCATTCTCTTAGACAGTTAACTGTAAATGCCTTTGTCATTTACAATTTCTTCTACTGCTCATTGAATTAGTGCTAACACTTAGTCTATTAAACGCGTTATAAATTCATATCTTCTACTACCCTGCTGTTGCCAACCGTCATACTATTTTAGATGCTGAAAACCACCAACAAGGGACCTGTTCCTAAAACCTAAAGCAGGGGAAAAGAAATCAAGTTGGGGAGGATTTTCTGTTTGACATCTGCCACATCAATTTGACGCCCCAGCCCCTTTGAGGAAGGGAATTTTGAGGAATGAAAATTTAAAGAAGCAAAGTATCTCAGCTCAGGGCACTTGCAGGACAGTAAAAGTTGGTAATGAGGGCAGAAATGCTCCCATGGTGTATTTGGGGGGTGAATTGAGCTGGTGGAAAGATGTGCAGGAGCTCACAGGGGCACTGGGACAGATTTGCTGTTGGGGGAGACAGCAAATCTGGACAGACTGCATCTGTGCACTTATTGCTAACATCCATATGAAATAATCTGAGATACTGGAATAAGCAGAGAGCACAGAGTGTCTATCCTGTGCTATCATTCCTGTGTCATGTCAGCTGGAAGTTTCAATGCAAAGTAGATCCTTTTGTTTCATTGTTCCAATAATTAATGTAGCTATGTATCATAAAGTTTATTACTATAATTTTTTTCTTTCTAGCTTCATATGCTATTGCCTAGAAAGTTTGAACAAGTTGATCCTTGAGGTCCCATTCCAACCTGGTGCTCTGTGATTCTGTGATATGCAGAGACCCTGATCCTATGTCCATCAAGGCAATAAGAAAAATGAGACAGTGCTGAATCTGGCCTTACAGTAACACATTTTAATACTATTTAACATGTTTCAGTTATGGAACCTATTTAACTATGATAACTATTTGTACATGAGTGTTAAAGTTTTAAGACAGTTACCAAATCACCTCTCATTTCAGTGACAGCCGTCTTAGCACAAGCTTTAGTTTTTAGTTAGAAGCTGAGAAGTGATTTAGTGAGAAGAAGTGAGAAGTGATTTAGTTCAGCCCATGTGCATTTTCATGATTTAAATAAATGCAAAAAATGATAATGGATTGTTGCTGTAGATAACAATGCTTGCTGGATTTTTCATAAGGACTGTTTCTCTGAGGCTGATTTCTGCTGAGAATTTCAACGTTCCTGATGTGTTTACAAGTTTTATCCTTTGTTACTAAGGAAGATAAGATGATTTAGATTTAGTCTAGTTGATATTTCATCCTCCCCTCAAACTCGCAATAATGCTGAGCTGATCAGATTTTTTCTCTTTTTGTGTGATCTAGAGAAAAGTCGAGAATTTTCTCATTTCATGTCTTTCCTGCAGGCTCATTGTAGTGACTAAAAGTGTGATATATTGCAAGACATTTTTATTGAGTGTTTTTGGCACAAACACAAAAAAAAAAAAAAAAAAGGGAGAGATTATGAGTCTTCCCACTTTCATTTTTCTGAACTGTGAGGCTTGGATAGTGTAGATAATAGTTTGATTTTTAGATATTCATCCAGCCAGCAGCTGCTTAGGGTTTGCTGACCATCCTTTTTCTTGTGTTTGAACTAACTGAAACGAGATGAGTCAAAGGGAAGGCGAATATGAATTTTAAAATCCTTTTAAAGTATTGATTTCCAAATTCTAAAACCCAGCAAAAAAGATTCGATTTAGCAAAGCCGAACCAACGGTTTATTCTCTTGCATTCAAAGGCTTGGATTATAATTGATGAGCACACACACTCTGGCCAGGGCTGGCTGTGGAGGTTATCTCCCCAAGTCCTTTCCTTGCCCCTGCTACCCTATTGTCTGAGGGTCTTGTGAGTCAGCTCCTGAGCAGATGCAGTTTATACCGTGACATTTTAAGGCAAAACAAAAGATTTCTTAATTCGCCTTCTGACTCATCGTGATCAAATGATTTGGGCTAATCTGAACCCTTGCTGAGGTTTTGCTTATCTGCTGTTTGGATTTAACAATCATAATGAAGTTGTGGGGTTAGCTCCTCTCTGAAAGGATTTTATGAAAGGAAATGCTTGCCCATACTCGTGTTAAAATGGATTCAATCTGCTTATTTTTGAGTCCTTATGCAAAGTCTGAGAAAATTCTATTGTTCTGTTGTTCTGATACAAATCTGAGCTGACTATTTCTGACATGCTTTTGGTGAATGAGGAAATATTTCCTCAGCCCAAGATCAAGCTTCTCCCATGAAAAAAAAAATTAATGTACTGCTTTTCTTCAGAGGTTGAGAGAATATAAAGTGTAAATGGAAAAATTTCTTTTTCCTTTTTTTTTTTTAAGGTAATAATAGTTAGAGGGTCAAAAAGTGGGATTAGAAATAGGTGGTATTCTAGGAAAACAATTTGAGCAGAAAAACTCAGGATTTAAAAATATAATTGTTTT